AGTGAACTATTCACACACAGAAATATTGAGCGGAAAAACGGTGTAATTGAAAGTACCAAAAGGAACATTTTTTTGCTGTAAAATTACTCTGTTTTCTGAGTAAAAGAACACTTATATGTGTGTTTTGCTAGCTTCGGAGTGCTTCACTATTGTGTAGGAGAACCGCTTTCAGTGTAACTTTACCGCGGATCTCGCGTTACATTTACGCACAAATATGTGTTTTTGGTAAAAAGTACCAAAAGGAACACTCGCGTGGTAATCGTACACAAATTCATAACGGTAAATTTACACAAATATGACGGTTATTATAACGATTTTTCTGGTAAAGCTAATGTTGGGCCCGCAAAATTTGTAACGCAAGCGACACGCGGCGGGACGTTGTCGCCAGCCGCGAGCCTAGCTAAATGCAACGAAACATTGTGATGCTCAATGCCTACCCCATGCTGCAAACACGCTTGTTTGTTTGTCGTTTATTGTTAAGAATCGACATCACATCTGACGGAAATAAAAGTTAGATTAGCGTATATACCTTATCATGTATATAAGCTGATATTTCACAACGCATGGGCGCCGCTACAGGTCGCAGCCACCGCCCGTCTCCCGTCAACTGCCCGTAATTAATTAATAAATAAAAAATATATCATCTGTACGCACTAATTCACTGTGCCAAAATTATCGTTCATTTAATTAGGCATCGGCTCTCTGTTGCCTATCTGGCAAAATATTAGCATACCTATACCTAATTAACCCTAGAAAAGCATGAAAGTGCATCCAATATTTTCATAACACGACAGCAGCTCGGTTGAAAAATTACAAGCCCACCTTAGCACTCCGACAAAGCTGGATAATTTCCAGCAGCTCCTCCAATGTCGCTCCGCTTCAGATTTCAGACTCGGTCTTGATTGCAGTTATCGGACGATGACCACAATGCAGTATTTCACTTATTGTTCACTTAGTCACTTATTACTCAGCTTATTATCGAACTAGATAAACACCACAGCACTGTTTTACCTCACTGATCGCACAAGAATCGGCAAACCCACTCTGCGCACTGCAGCCACAACACTCCCCCGCCGGCCCCCGCGGTCCCCGGCGCACAACTGACAGATTGCGAAAATGGCGCCGCCGCCGTCAGCATATAGCTCAAAATTTCGCTAAATTTACACTAGTTGACGTAAACGAACGGTGCTCTGGATGTGTACCGCAATTACCAGTGCGACACAACACTCATTCGCGTATGGATACACTTGCTTTGCATGGAAACATATCAGTTAGGTATTTGAACATCTGTTATGCTGTTACATTATCCTATTTTGCGTAAAGATGCCTGTGTGGTGTAATAAAACTGCCGATGTTTGTTAGTTAACCAATAAACGTCGTATAAAAACAAACTTATTCTTGATGCCTTTACTTATTATGGCGTTGTGCGACGGATACCTTGCTTATTTATCGCGAAAATACTTAAACTAAAGATATTTTACTAATTGAAGCAGAACTTTGAAGCTAATTGAACTATTTACGGGTATATTGAACTTGACATCGCTCAATATTTCTGTGTGTGTTGGAGCGCTGACTGCGCCGTGTGGGAGTTCTACCAGCGTTGTGTCATTGTCATTTCGCTCCTGCAGGTTACCCTGCCGTAGAGAACGCCTCCCGTAGGATGACCCACGACGTAGGATGATGACTCAACCTGGCGGGACATTGACGGCTCTTGCCAAATAGCCTGTCAGGGTTGTAAGCTGTGAGAAGTGCGTATCTGATCCGTGAGAATGTGTGTCTGCTTTGGGAAGGCTCGAGAATGTTGGATAATCTCTGTACAGTAGCGTGGCTTGCTGTCGGCAATTGTTTACGACGAAACCTTTTTTGTTTTATTGGTTGCCGGTAAGAAGGATGTGGCCTGGCGTCTGCCTCTCTGCACAGCGCAGTAATATGCTTTAAGCGAGCAGTTTGGTTCGTTAATGCTCGATCAGCATGCTGGTGGGTAAGGTGATGCAGTGATGCGTGATGGTGACCAGCCATCCGTTTTTGGTGCTCCGAAAAAGCACTCGAATATCCATATACATTTACAACTTTCATATATATATATATATATATATATATATATATATATATATATATATATATATATATATATATATATATATATTCCTTTCCACATTTCTGATGGTGCTAGAATGCTGAAATGTGTTGTTTACAAAAATGTTATTTTGACCACTAACTAAGTTTATCTTTGAAATGATTCAGAACTTTTTGCATAGGTACTTTATCGCACTTTTATTTTCAATTTACGTCAGACAGTTTTTCTGACTACTCGACGGTCTGGTGCCAACAGTGGTAAGCCGGCTCCCAAACCAGAAATAACCTGTTTCTTCTACCTTTATACCCGCCTGAAAACCAGTCTCGAATAAGACGACCGCTCGGTATGTTTCTGATACCCCCACGTGTCGATATCGGGATCATGTTCTGTGGAACACTTTCCAAGCTTCACGACCGCTTTGAACGGATCTTTACGACCGCTTTGAACGGATCTTTAAGACTGTTTTACGAAAGACCATGATCAGGCGTTGGTCCGCAATAGGCAATCACGACAAATACACCTTATATGTTAGTATCAGTGTATCCATGCCTCATCATCGTGCTTATTTAATTTTAGCGTTACGCTTGACATACATAGGTCGAACATTCGCCCCTCCGTAGTTTCACCAATATGCATGTGGCTAGTTGTAATGAACTTTGCACCTGAAGAACAAGCACATCCGTTCCTGGACTGGACCATCTCCCCTTGGCAACCGAGTTTCTGAAATTCCATCACTCTTTCCTTGAACACTGAACGGATGCGTAGTCAGCGGTCAAGGTCAAACTCGGATCTGACCCCCCTCCCCCACGCCACTTCCTCCCCGTGAACTGGGGGGGGGGGGGGCTGGACACACATTAGTGTGGGCTCTCCCAGACGGTCAGCGTCTGTGTTTACAGAGGTGATCAGACAAGACAGGAATGACAGTCACCCTATCCTGCATGGGATAGCTAATTACTGATGAGTATTGTCTCATGAAGGTCTCCATTTTGTGATGTTATCCGTATCATCTACTTAGCTAGGGACAATTTGTGTTTCTTTCATTTTTGACCCATCAATGCAACATTTTTTTGTTCATCTGTTTTGCTAGTATAATTGATTGAGTTGATACCTATTTCAAATGCTACCAACTAGCATTCAGTTAAAACTCAATATCTTTACACTACGAACGGGCTGACATTTGATGACACTCGAGACTGAAACAAGGGTTTCCCGAAGTTGAGTTGACTCTTGACTACTAAGACGAGGCCACCGGTGACCCGAGCGGTGACCTTGAGAGTCCTGCCTCCAGCTGACGTCATCAACGGATGCGTGACGTCACTTGTGTGCGTAATGACTGCGTCTAGACTTTGTACTTAGAACTTGGTAATACCGGGGATAGAATTATCAGTCGACCTAGCATTATTGCTTAATACTGGCATTTCCATGGAAATGGGCTCCCGTGTTATTTCGAATGTGAACATTTTGAAATTACTTTGAATGCTAATTTGAATTTTAGATCGTCTGAATGCCGATTATGTTCGGTCAGATATAGCTGAACCAAGGATTAAATGAATATAATATTTTATAACGCATATAAGTATCCACAAAGTTACAGCCTTCTCCGGAAGCCAAGAGGTAACTTATGGGCCGTCAGACTGGCAGAAATATATTTGTCTGAGTCTGTCAGTCAGCTCTAGTCTGTCCCAGTCTGTCCCAGTCTGTCTGACCGTGCCCACCCAAGTGTGACCGGCACGTTAGTACTCATCTACGAGACCCTCCACCGTCGCGAGCGGCGCGGCGGCGCGGCGCAGGTGAAAGTGCGCTCGTCGACGGCACACTCTCTGACATAGGGAGGCGCGTGCAGAGCCCCAGGCGCCGGCCGCTGCTCCCTTACAGGACCGGCTGATGACATGTTGGGAGGATTAGTTGCTGACTGTGTCTGAGCTTGCTTTTTTCAAAATGAAACATGACAGATATGTGGACTCAGCGACGGATTTCATGAAATTTGCACTAAAATTTATACTTTTATGCAATTTTCCCTAGGTTATTCGCAAATATGGATAGGCTTTTACCGACCTTTGCTTAGAATGTTCGACGTCTGTATAAGAGATTGGTTGAAGTGCTGTCTGTCATGGTTAAAAAGTACTTACGCCTCAGCCCTCAAGCATTTTTCAGGAGGGAAACAACGTAATAACTATTATATGTGAAGTTTTTCAGTCGTCCTTTGAAATTTAGCTGGTCGTTTCCGTATCCAAGCTGGATAAAAATTTAACTTCCTAAGAAAGAAATAAAAAAAATTGATGGTAACGACCGAAGCTTTAATTATAATTGTACCAATAAAATCGCTCTCAAGACGCCCGGAGACCGTCCCGATAATATTTGAACATCAATAATAAAGCAGGATTTGCTTATCAAACGTGCTAAAAAAAAATCAATCATTTTTTTATTAAAATGCAAAGTTCAGAGCATGCAGTTTTGAAAACGACAACATAATCCTTAATTTGGTATTTAACCTCATGGAACTTGGTGATGACACCAATACTCAAATGACCATGGGAAACATGAAGGTTAGCTGTTATATAACATGATTTCCGTTGTTATATAATTTCAAAAATTCTGACCCAAATATCTCATCAATGCATTGATGAGATATTTGGGATATAACATTGATGAGATATAACATTGCAATGTTATAAGTTACAAACATTCGAACGCGTAACATGCACCTGACAGTCCTATTTGCATCAATGTCTGAAATCCTTTTCTGCATCCTTCCCAGCACTCATCCCCACCTCCCCCTGCCTTTGTAGGAGGGTTGGTGTTCACGCGGTGACCTTCAAAGTCGCCCGCGGCACCGCCGGTCAGCTGTTTCCCGTCGGCCGCCTGTCAGAGACTGTACCTCGCCGCGCGCGACGATAGGCCGCGTCTCCTCCGTTCGACAGTCAGTCGTGAACTCCGCGTCGGCGCGTCGACACCTCCCCGGACTGGACCCGAGAGAGAGGGGGCTCTCAGAAAGCGAGCGAGAGTCTCCCGTCTCGGAGAGACGGGTGGTGTCGGAGTGAGGGTTCTGCCCTTGGAGGACGGCACGCGCCCGAAACGGAAGGACCATGGCGTGCAGGTGGGTCAAGCTGCTAATTTTATACACATTTTACATATTCAGATGACTCTAATAGTATTCAACTGTTGTATACTACATAGTACGTAATCCATATCTAGTTAATGCAGCTGATTCATGACTCTTCCTCTAGTCCTTCAACCCTCCGAAAGAAGAGCGATCTACGAAGTGAAAATCCTGGCTTGCTGCTGGTTTGTAGTAACATACAGTAGTCTCGTAAAGCTTCACCCAGGCTTGCTTCAGGCTCGCTTTAGTGTTGGTGTTACCCTGCTGTGAAAATGCAGTCGCTGGTGTTACGGTGTTGTGCACGGTTGCAGTCTCCCAGGATGTGCTGTTGTGCGTCACTGCGGTCACCGAATTTCCCTTTCACTGCCAATGGCTACTGGGGTCGTTATAGTGCTACGTTTTTGGTCATCATTTTATTATGTTAAGCAACTTATATCAACCCGCACATTTATATTTTATGGTAGATAACACTTCTTTTCATTTCCGAAGCAACTTTTCAATGATGCGCTTCATTTGCATTCAGCGCTATGGTCCACTTCATTGGTACAAAACATATGGATTCAAACTCACATCTCACGCAGTGTTCTTGAGTTCTCTTCTTGCAATACAAATTCTAAACCGGAATCTCTATGCTGGGCCAGCTCTGGCACTGCCACTCCCTTGCTGCGGCTGCGGCGGTGACGGCGGCGAAAGTCCCCAAGTTCTGTTGGTCTTGGCGTAGTGCCTAACGCCCTATATTCAGTGTTGTCTTGGCTGAGTGAAATTCGCCGCCGAGCAGCCGCCAGAAGCTCACCGGATTCGTTTGGCAACACATGCATAATCATGTTTTGAGATGCGTGAGATGCAACAGACACAGGAGGATCACGTTGACCAATATCAGCTTCACTTGCACCGTGATGTGCATTCACATCCAGAGACACCCACAAAGACACGCACATATGAACACCTCAAAATCATAATGTGACATGAATTTTTACGGAAAGGCACACTCACAAACTCCGCACACAGTCACCCACTCTGAGACGCTCACACTTTTCACACAATCATTCACGCTATCTATGCATTTACTAGTTGAGAATCACATTTTAAAGGTACTCATTCAAACTCTACACCCGCTATGAAGCGCTGACAGTCTCCACGAGAAATCAGAGAGTTTCCTAACATCCTACCCGTGAGCCCATCGACCATTGTTGGAAGTTGGGATTGCCCCCAGGCCTGGCGCCGTTCGTTCCAAGATGTGAAATTGGGGTCTGTTTGACAGCACCGCCGAGCGAATGTGATAAGGCGCAGAAAAGGAAACGAAAGGGATTAAGGAAAATGTACACAATACTGGGCTGATGATGTCGTGGAATAAAGCACTTCTGATATGTATCAATTGGCGGGATAATGCACAAAGCTTGGGTAGATCCTACTGCTAGCAGCGAGCCAGTCGTCACATTTAGTGATTGTGTGGATGTCAGACTGTGTCGTCATTCCCGCGTCCCTTTGTGTCGGGGCGCGGCCCCGCGCGGACTGCGCGTGCGCGGCCTGCGCGCGCGCGCTGACCCGGCGAGGGTCAGTCGGTGTCGGGGACGCGGCCGGGGTGCGGCTCCGCTGGAGTGCAATATAGACGTCGGTGCAGGACATCTGTGTGTCGAGCGGCAGCGCGCGAGAGCATCACATGGCGCGGTCGGTTATCGACCTACTGTGGTGATCAAGTCGGCAACAATGAGTCAGGAAGGTGTAGACAAGTTGACGGCTCTGCTCGTCAAGCAGGCCGAGATGGTACGACAGAACGGCCCGCCCCCTCTCAGCATTGCAAGTCGGGACTCACGTGGACGTGCAGGATACTGCAAACGGGCGCTGGGACCGGCTGGGGGTCGTCGTCGGAGTCGGCGCTAGGCGTAGCTATCTGGTAAAGCTGGGGAGCGGGCGGATACTGTGGAGAAACAGACGCTACCTGCGGCGCCACCGGCCTCTGGTTGAGGCAACGCAGGGTGGCCTCAAGGAGTCTGTCGTCGCGGGGCCCGTGAAACCAGTGAACCACGATGCGGAGCCTCAGAGGATGCTGCCTCGTCGAAGCGGTCGGGCTCGTCGGGAGCCCAACCGCTTGTCGGTTCGGTGGGGATCTGCTACGTACGTTGATTGAATGAGACGCCCGGTGCCGTCGCCTCTTCTGCTAGTTGCTGTATTTATTGCGGGTATCTGTTTTGTGTCGCGTGCGTCGCGGTGCGTCGCGTTCCTATGCATCTTGCGGCAACTAATTTAGGTCGTTGTCTGTTGTTCACGCTCGGCGACGGGGGCACGGGTCGTCTGGGGGGAGGTGTGTGGATGTCAGACTGTGTCGTCATTCCCGCGTCCCTTTGTGTCGGGGCGCGGCCCCGCGCGGACTGCGCGTGCGCGGCCTGCGCGCGCGCGCTGACCCGGCGAGGGTCAGTCGGTGTCGGGGACGCGGCCGGGGTGCGGCTCCGCTGGAGTGCAATATAGACGTCGGTGCAGGACATCTGTGTGTCGAGCGGCAGCGCGCGAGAGCATCACAGTGATTGTCTACCTTCGAGGCAGTAAATGGTTCCGCTTCATTGGTCTAGCCTGACCCATTATTGTTTTATCTCCAATCGCACATGTCATGGCAGGAGCTGTGATTTCTCCAATGAGGTGTTGAGAAAGCCTGTTACATCACAGATGACTGTGCAATGTCATAACCCATGCCAATTTCTCCCCATAGATAGTATGAATGGTTTTAGATTGTTTGAATTAATTCTGGTAAAACTGCCAATAAATTGTTCCTACCTTCATCCCGCGGCATACGCAACTGTGCAGTGTTACGTCACATTGGTCGATCCTTTGCATTAAGTTAATGACGTCACTGATATAGTACCTACCAGAGATTGCAGTGCTGCAGCTGGTGCCACTCTGGCCCATGCAGACCACTCACTCTAAGAAGATGGTATCTGCAACAACGGTAGGCTGCGACTGGCTCTAGTAATGGGTGCATGTAACTGCGGGGCGATGGGTATGGTGGCCGGTAACTCAGAGCAGACACACTAGTTCAACGTCTTGTGAAAGTTGAGAATGAAGGTACAATGCATTAGTGTGCGAGCATAGGAATCCATTCGCCTTTGGACCAGCACTAAGTCCCGGGCTGCTTTCCATGCGCTAAGGCTCGTGGCCACAACAGTTGAGTTGCACCTCTGTCCCCGCTCTAAAGGCGCCTGGCTCTCCTGTTGAGCTCCTGTCCCTCCATTCAGACCTATGTAGAGCCCCTGACTCCCCTGGCAGCCCCTAGCCCTAAGCCCGGGTCCCAGGTCTCCAGGATCTCCGTTCAGCCCCTACCACTGGATCCGGTCCCTAGGCCCCTGGTAGCCCCCAGCCCTTCGCTCGGGTTCTCTCATGTCGTAACCTGTGACCGGGTTCGGGCTGCCGGCGCCCCCGGTAGTGCGTCCCAGTACGTTCACTTGGAATGTCGCCAGCATCGCACCGTCGCCGCCACGCTGACGCCGGGTGGTTTCACGGGGAGGCTGGCTGGACATTCTGACGAGGAATAGGCGTCTGGCTGTGCGAAATAACCCAATTAAAATGCACTTGCTCTGGTTTGCTGTCCAGTTATTGGTCCCTAGAGGTGGCCTGCCATAAAATGAAATTTGACATTAGAGTAAACAGGGACTTGTTTTTATTTTGCCCGGTTGAAAAGGCGTCTCATCCTTTTCAAGAACAGCAGTTATCTGCAAATGTCGAAATTCTTGGTTTATTCGCATTATCCATATCATATCCATATGTTTTGTTTCGCAGTAAAAATGCCCGGAGCAACAGTACAAAGCGTCAGCCTCAACCGCCAAACGCTCGAATATCATACCCATCGTGTAACCACTTGATCAATCACCGTCTCACTGGCTCTTGTGCTACCCCGGCGGAGTCTCACTGTCAAAGCAGACGGTTTTTCTTCATCACACTCTGGTCGCCCGATAAATTCGTAGACCCAGCCTGGCTTGGTAGAGGTACTGGACACTGGTCCGACCTGAGGGCATGGCCACGCTATGGGTATATGCAGGAATGCGATTCTGGGTTTGCATATCCGCTCCACATGCTGCTGCTAGGCTGTTTGAACTTCAGACTTGTGCAGGGCGCATATTTACATATGTATAATATTTCAAACTCAAGGCATGAATTTAGACTTCGGCATTGAGGGCGTGGAAGCCTGCCGGACGACACGTACCTATAAAATAGGAAGGTGAAAATGTAGATAACAATATTGTCATCGAATGAAAATTAATAATAAAGGCTTAGGTTTTGTACCCTCGGTACTCACAAACTCTTCTTGGTTCTACGTAATCACAAACTCATCATTATTCGTAGGTCATGCATTTATAGCAGGTCACACAGTATATGATTAAATGTCGAACAATGGCATCACTCGCCATCACGACTGTCAGCCAAGCATTCACCATGGTCACGCTTCTCAACAATAGCCACGGGCCGTGATGTGGAATTATATGAAAGTGCTCCGTCTCCTCCAATCAACTCAAAGGCGATAACGTGCGCACGTGTGTGCCTATTCGGTAGCCACCGGCCGAAAGTGCGCATTCAACGACCGCACGCACTCTCGACACTCCCGGCAATTTGCACTATTTCATACAGTGAATAGCGTATTGAATGCACTCTGGATGACTCTCCGAATCGTAGCGGGGGCATTTCGGCGCTACCTGTTCATCTATTCGGTTCTGGTGAGGAGCCAGACAGCGGCGATGGCACACTTTCTAGCAGAACCCATCGGGTCACCGGAGGCTGTATGTTAAATAAACACCGTTATTTGCACATTGTTCTTGAGGGTGTGACGAGCCGGTTTGGTATTTGATGAAGCATGAAAACATCTAAATGATAACCGACACAATACTGTTTGGAAATGTGTGATATGCAGTATGGTTCTAAGCGTGCGCCTACTGTACTTTTGGTTCTTATAAATACTCCATCAACATTCAACACCTCATCTAGAAAAAGTGCCACTAGCCGTTAATTCTCCT